TAGTAGTAGTAGTAGTAGTAGTAGTAGTAGTAGTAATGGAACTAAGGAGGTGAGGCTAGAGAGGGACCTGCTGGTATTACTTGATGCCAGCAGGTCCCTCTCTAGCCTCACCTCCTTAGTTCCATTACTACTACTACTACTACTACTACTACTACTACTACTACTACCACCTCTACCCACGCTTCACCTCACCTGACTCCCACCACTATATATTTGTGTGTTTTCTTAGTTTTCTCTGTATTAGGACTGAAGAAGCCACTCGTGGCGAAATGTTTCCTTTAATAAATGTCCTGAACTGTACATAAGTGTCTTTTTCCACTACTGGTCCATGCTAGGCAAGTCCAACAAGGAGCACTGCAGCAGGCCTACTGGCCCATGCTAGGCAGGTTCAACAAGGAGTACTGCAGCAGGCCTATTGAGCCATGCTAGGCAGGGCCAACTAGGAACACTGTAGCAGGCCTACTGGCCCATGCAAGGCAAGTCCAAGTCTCCTACCAGTTTAAGCCAATGCCTCAACCTAGTTAGGTCAGGTCACATTCACTTAAGGAAGCACAGCAACTGACCTAGTAGCACAAGCTAGTCAGGTCCAACTCGCACCCACTCATGTATTTATCCAACCTATTTTTAAAACTACACAACGTTTTAGCCTCTATAACTGTACTCGGGAGTTTGTTCCACTCATCCACAACTCTATTACCAAACCAGTACTTTCCTATATCCTTCCTGAATCTGAATTTTTCCAACTTAAAACCATTGCTACGAGTCCTGTCTAGGCTAGATATTTTTAGCATGCTATTTATATTCCCTTTATTTATTCCTGTCGTCCATTTATACACCTCGATCATATCCCCCCTAATTCTACGCCTTTCTAGAGAGTGCAGATTCAGGTCCTCAGTCTATCCTCATAGGGAAGATTTCTGATACATGGGATCAACTTTGTCATCCTCCTTGTACGTTTTCCAGAGCATTTATATCCATTCTGTAATACGGTGACCAAAACTGTGCAGCATAATCTAAATGAGGCCTAACCAAGGATATATAGAGTCGAAGAACAACCTGAGGACTCCTATTATTTATGCTTCTTGATATGAAGCCAAGGATTCTGTTAGCTTTATTGCGAACACTTGTTCACACAACACAGTTTTACGTAGTACAGAGCCTGGTGTTCACACAACACAGTTTTACGTAGTACAGAGCCTGGTGTTCACACAACACAGTTTTACGTAGTACAGAGCCTGGTGTTCACACAACACAGTTTTACGTAGTATAGAGCCTGGTGTTCACACAAGAGGTGTATATCTCCCAGTGTATATACACTGAGAGGTGTATATCTCCCAGTGTATATACACTGAGAGGTGTATATCTCCCAGTGTATATACACTGAGAGGTGTATATCTCCCAGTGTATATACACTGAGAGGTGTATATCTCCCAGTGTATATACACTGAGAGGTATATATACACTGAGAGGTGTATATCTCCCAGTGTATATACACTGAGAGGTGTATATCTCCCAGTGTATATACACTGAGAGGTATATATACACTGAGAGGTGTATATCTCCCAGTGTATATACACTGAGAGGTGTAAGATTTAAACCCCATTAACCAACCAACCACCATGGTACAATAGACAGCCCAATGGCTTGCTACTACAAGAACTGGCTTACCCTGGCTTCCAAGCCTGACGCTTGGGTTTCCAGAGCATATAAGAGGCTACGTAATAATGCTACCATTACCAGTCATCGTCTGTGGTCTTAGTATTACTTTATTAGTGCTGTGTACCTGGTAAGAATCTTCATTATTATAACTCTAAATTATTACTACCAACAGGTATGGTAGAGGCACAGTGAATAATAATCTTTATTTCTACAAGCACATGATACAACTTATAAATACCATAGCTGACATCAATGACATACTGTATAGAAAGCCCCTGGTTATGCAGAGCATTTCGGGAAAATTAGGATTTGTCCCAAGATGCTAGGTAAGATTGGTCAGGAAACAGGACAAGTGTTTCCTGACGCGAGTCATATGATGACCCACAGCTGGAGCTTTTAGTCATCTGACCCAGGCCTTCCACAAGCAGTAGGTACTGCCTCTACAAGCGGTAGGTACTGCCCCACTTCAAGTGATAGGTACTGCCTATATAACAAGTAGGTACTGCCTCCACAAGCAGTAGGTACTCCCCCCACAAGCAAAAGGTACTTCCTCCATTACAAGAAATAGGTACTGCCTCCACTACATGCATTAGGTACTGCCTCCACTACATGCATTAGGTACTGCCTCCACTACATGCATTAGGTACTGCCTGCACTACAAGCAGTAGGTACTGCCTCCACTACAAGCACCAGGTACTGCCTCCGCTACAAGCAGTAGATACTGTCTCCACTACATGCATTAGGTATTGCCTCAACAACAAGCAGTAGGTACTGCCCCTACTACAAGTGGAAGGTACTGCCCCCACTACATGCAGTAAGTACTGCCTCCACTACATGCATTAGGTACTGCCTCCACTACAAGCAGTAGGTACTGCCCCCATTACATGCAGTAGGTACTGCCTCTACTACAAGTGGTAAGTACTGCCCCCACTACATGCAGTAAGTACTGCCTTCACTACATGCATTAGTAACTGCCTCCACAACAAGTAGTAGGTACTGACCCCACTACATGCAGTAGGTACTGCCCCTACTACAAGTGGTAGGTACTGCCCCCACTACATGCAGTAGGTACTGCCCCTACTACAAGTGGTAGGTACTGCCCCTACTACAAGTGGTAGGTACTGCCCCCACTACATGCAGTAGGTACTGCCCCTACTACAAGTGGTAGGTACTGCCCCCACTACATGCAGTAGGTACTGTCCCTATTACAAGTGGTAGGTACTGCCCCACTACATGCAGTAGGTACTGCCCCTACTACAAGTGGTAGGTACTGCCCCCACTACATGCAGTAGGTACTGCCCCTACTACAAGTGGTAGGTACTGCCCCGACTACAAGTGGTAGGTACTGCCCCTACTACATGCAGTAGGTACTGCCCCTACTACAAGTGATAGGTACTGCCCCACTACATGCAGTAGGTACTGCCCCTACTACAAGTGGTAGATACTGCCCCACTACATGCAGTAGGTACTGCCCCTACTACAAGTGGTAGGTACTGCCCCCACTACATGCAGTAGGTACTGCCCCTACTACAAGTGGTAGGTACTGCCCCTACTACAAGTGGTAGGTACTGCCCCCACTACATGCATCAGGTACTGCCCCTACTACAAGTGGTAGGTACTGCCCCCACTACATGCATCAGGTACTGCCCCTACTACAAGTGGTAGGTACTGCCCCTACTACAAGTGGTAGGTACTGCCCCCACTACATGCAGTAGGTACTGCCCCTACTACAAGTGGCAGGTACTACCCCGACTACAAGCGGTAGGTACTGCCCCCACTACATGCAGTAGGTACTGCCCCTACTACAAGTGGTAGGTACTGCCCCGACTACAAGTGGTAGGTACTGCCCCCACTACATGCATCAGGTACTGCCCCTACTACAAGTGGTAGGTACTGCCCCCACTACATGCAGTAGGTACTGCCCCTACTACAAGTGGTAGGTACTGCCCCTACTACAAGTGGTAGGTACTGCCCCCACTACATGCAGTAGGTACTGCCCCTATACAAGTGGTAGGTACTGCCCCACTACATGCAGTAGGTATCCCCCTACTACAAATGGTAGGTACTGCCCCTACATGAAAGTAGGTATTGCCCTACTACAAGTGGTAGGTACTGCCCCCATACATGCAGTAGGTATGCCCCTACTACAAGTGGTAGGTACTGCCCCTACTAAAAGTGGTAGGTACTCCCCCAAATCATGCATCAGGTACTGCCCCTACTACAAGTGGTAGGTACTGCCCCCACTACATGCATCAGGTACTGCCCCTACACAAGTGGTAAGGTACTGCCCCTACTACAAGTGGTAGGTACTGCCCCCACTACATGCAGTAGGTACTGCCCCTACTACAAGTGGCAGGTACTACCCCGACTACAAGTGGTAGGTACTGCCCCCACTACATGCAGTAGGTACTGCCCCTACTACAAGTGGTAGGTACTGCCCCGACTACAAGTGGTAGGTACTGCCCCCCACTACATGCATCAGGTACTGCCCCTACTACAAGTGGTAGGTACTGCCCCCACTACAGTCAGTAGGTACTGCCCCGTACTACAAGTGGCAGGTAACTCCCCGACTACAATGGTAAGGTACTGCCCCCACTACATGCATCAGGTACTGCCCCTACTACAAGTGGTAGGTACTGCCCCCACTACGTGCAGTAGGTACTGCCTCCATAACTAGTAGGTACTTCCTCCACCACAGGTAGTGGGGACTGGACGTGTTCCAGAGAGAGAGGTAGTTCCGTCACACGGAAGAGGGGAGGGGAGGGGAGGGGAGGGGGAGGGGGAGGGAGGAGGGGGAGGGGGAAGGGGGAAGGGGGGAAGGGGAGGGAAGGGAGGGAAGGGAGAGGGAGGGAGGGAGGGAGGAGGGAGAGGGGAAGAAGGAGCAGTGGAGAGATCTTTAAGCCACGTGATCAATCAGACTGTTGGCACCAACGTAGGGTAAGTACCCTCGACCAGCACCAACAGCTACGTAGATCAGTCCCTCAACCACGCGGCCTGGTCCAGGACCAGGCCGCAGGGGGAAGGGGGGGGCAGTCACCCCCGGAAACGATACACAGGAATCAGATTTTTGTTTACGTCTGTCAGCTGACTGTTGTTAACATGTCAGCTGATTGTTATTTACACCGGTCAGCTGATTACTGTTGTTGCTGCTGTAGGTGTAATTATTAAATAATAATAATAATAACAATAGTAAAAATAATAATGATAAATTAATAATAGTAAATATAACGATGACTAAAATAATAATAATAATAATATAATAGGAATACTAATATTAAGATAAGTGTACGTTGCAGTAGGTGAAGGAGCCGTACGGGTTTAGGAGCTGCACTACAACTTACCTTCATCATGCTGGAAGTGAGGGTTGTCGTAGCCCAGAGGAACACCAGTCTCTACGTCACTCTTCCCTGCAACACAGAGCATAGTGTTGATATGTAACACTTTGCAATACCTGCAACACAGTGCTAACAAGTGTGACACCTTGAAATCATATGCAAGGCTTCAAGTGTAGGCATGATAAAGCCTTCAGAGCCACCAATTAGTAAGACTGAAGAGGAGGGGCCAAGAGCTATTACGAATTTCTGCAACACTGCAAACCCCTAATGATGTGTTGATTGCAATACTAAATGATCTAGAGCTATCATATATATAATATATATATATATATATATATATATATATATATATATATATATATATATATATATATAATATATTAATATATATATATAGAAGGAAATTTGAAAAAAACAAGAACAAGAAGAGGAAGAAGAGGAAGAAGAGGAAGAAGAGGAAGAGGAAAGGTGATAACTGGAGGAGTCAGTTATGACAACACACTAAAGCAAACATTGCATTCTTCCGTATTGTGTCTACACCTGTCTTGTGTCTACACCTGTCTTGTGTCTACACCTGTCTTGTGTCTACACCTGTCTTGTGTCTACACCTGTCTTGTGTCTACACCTGTCTTGTGTCTACACCTGTCTTGTGTCTAGAACTGTCTAGTATCTACGCCTGTCTTGTGTCTACACCTGTCTTGTGTCTAGAACTGTCTGTATCTACAACTGTCTGTATCTACGCCTGTCTTGTACTAACTTGTACTATCCTGTACTAACCAGAAGGTACTAACAAGACGATAGTATTAATATAGGTGTCTCCGGTCCCAACAAGTGAGGATCACTATATTGTACTGTACATGTTGACAACTCTACTAACAACACTACTAACAACACTACTAACAACACTACTAACAACACTACTGACAACACTCTACTCTCAACACACTACCAACACTGACAACATTTGTATCCTCCTCTCCACTACTACTGTCTCCCCGTCACTACACTGTATCAAGCTTGCTAAAGCTTCACACACAGCTAGAGGTGTCTGTATGTCTGTCCGTCTGTCTGTCTTGAATAAATACTCGTCTTAATCCAGTAAGACAACTTACTAAAGTTAACACTTACACTTAACAGCAGCACTCACACTGGATATATAAACTTTAATGTTGTAATTACATCAGTGTGTGTGTGTGTGTGTGTGTGTGTGTGTGTGTGTGTGTGTGTGTGTGTGTGTGTGTGTGTGTGTGTGTGTGTGTGTGTGTGTGTACTCACCTAATTGTGGTTGTACGGGTCGATTCATAGCTCCTGACTTGTGTGTGTGTGTAAATGCAGCTAATTTCATTAAATACCGGAATTTGCCCACACCATTCCTCCCTTCCATTGCCCCCACCTTCCCCTGCTACACTGCCCCTGATGCACCTGCCCCTGCTGCACCTGCACCACCTGCCCCTGCTGCACCTGCGCCTGCACTACCTGCCCCTGCTACACATGCCCCTGCACCACCTACCATCACTGCAGTTAGTATTTATGGTAAAGGCAAACACTCCCTGTTCCCTTTCCAACCGGTTACAAATTCCTTCTCATGTAACCGGAAATCGCCTAGAGTTTGTCACCACAGGTACTCTGGACGACCATGACGTAGGTGCAGCACCTAGACACAGGCGGAACACCTAGACACACGATCTACACCTATGTATCTACTGACACAAAGGGAAATGAGACCCATGTGTCCCTGCTGGCGCATTATATACAACAGGATAAGAGAGAGTAAGGACCGGGGTTCCGTAAGGATCAGTACTAGGACTGTTACTGTTGATAATATAATGAACGACCTACCAGAGGGATCTGAGATCCATGTGTCCCTGCTGGCGCATTATATACAACAGGATAAGAGAGAGTAAGGACCGGGGTTCCGTAAGGATCAGTACTAGGACTGTTACTGTTGATAATATAATGAACGACCTACCAGAGGGATCTGAGATCCATGTGTCATTGTTTACGATTAAATAAAACTAATAAGAATAATAATAACAAGAGAGAACAGGTAGACTCCAGGTAGACTCAAGAGACTGAAGATGTGATCAAACAAGTGGCTGCTCCAGTTCAACCCAAGCAAATGCAATGTCATGTACCTTGGAGAAAGAGATGGCAGACCGGAGACAGAGTACAGCATAGCCGGAGAGAAACTAGAAATAACAGAGTGAAAAGGACCTGGGGGTAAACATAACGCCAAGTATATCACCCGAACACACATAAACCTCAGAATAACATGCAAAAACTGGAATAAAGAATCCTTTAGAACCTTATATACGTATGTTAGTCCAGTTATTGAGTACGTAGCACCAGCATGGAGCCCACACCTGGTCAATCATCTTAAGAAACTCGAAAAGGTACAAAGGTTTATAATCAGGCTAAGTACCATAACTCAGGAGGAATGTATTATGAGAGGTTGAAGGAAGTACACCTGACGACCTTGGCGAAGAGAATAAGGGGAGACATGATTACTATGTACAAAGTTTTGAAAAGAATTGATAGGGCTGACAAGGACACGGTGTTTGAAATAAGGGGACCAGGACCAAGGTGACAATGTTTGACTTAAGAGAAAGGTATCTTCAGTACCATAGCAAGTGACCTTAACTGCCCTGAAGAACCACGGACAAGAAAGGTATCTTCAGAACCATATTATTATTATAATCAAGGGGGAAGCGCTAAACCCGGAGGATTATACAGCGCCTGGGGGGGGGGATGTGGAAGGCATTCAGGCTTAATTCGGGGAACTGGAGCACAGATCCAATTCCCTAAATCAAGAGCCCCTCACCAACATCAAGGAACCTTCCTTGAGGGGTTCAGTACCATAGCAAGTGATCTTAAATGCCCTGAAGAACCACGGTCAAGAAAGGTATCTTCAGTACCATAGCAAGTGACCTTAAATGCCCTGAAGAACCACGGTCAAGAAAGGTATCTTCAGTACCACAGATCAAGTGACCTTCAATGCCTTGAGGAAGATAACACTAGTAACAAGGAAGCAATCTTAACGGGTGGTAATGTATCTGACATGGTTGAGCTGATCACTAGTGTTGCGTGCTGGCTGGTGTTGCAGGAACAACACCTCACACAGTGTTTGGTTGTAACGCAACATATAACGTAATGTAAACAGTATGTCAAGCCTCAAGGTCATTGTCTCTGGCTTCTTACTTGTTAGTGAACCAGTGCTTGTTCAGATGAGTAGTTAGTGTCTTCAAGTGAACCACTGCTTGTTGATACGACTCATCAGTGTCTTCAAGTTAACCACTGCTTGTTGATACGACTCATCAGCGTCTTCAAGTGAACCACTGCTTGTTGATACGACTCATCAGTGTCTTCAAGTTAACCACTGCTTGTTGATACGACTCATCAGCGTCTTCAAGTGAACCACTGCTTGTTGATACAACTCATCAGCGTCTTCAAGTGGACCACTGCTTGTTGATACAACTCATCAGTGTCTTCAAGTTAACCACTGCTTGTTGATACGACTCATCAGCGTCTTCAAGTGAACCACTGCTTGTTGATACGACTCATCAGCGTCTTCAAGTGGACCACTGCTTGTTGATACGACTCATCAGTGTCTTCAAGTGGACCACTGCTTGTTGATACGACTCATCAGCGTCTTCAAGTGAACCACTGCTTGTTGATACGACTCATCAGCGTCTTCAAGTGGAACCACTGCTTGTTGATACGACTCATCAGCGTCTACAAGTGGAACCACTGCTTGTTGATAAAGACTCATCACGTCTACAGGGACCACTGCTTGTTGATACGACTCATCAGCGTCTTCAAGTGAAAACCCCTGCTTGTTGATACGACTCATCAGCGTCTTCAAGTGGAACACTGCTTGTTGACACGACTCATCAGCGTCTTCAAGTGGAACACTGCTTGTTGATACGACTCATCAGCGTCTTCAAGTGGACCACTGCTTGTTGATACGACTCATCAGCGTCTTCAAGTGGAACCCCTGCTTGTTGATACGACTCATCAGCGTCTTCAAGTGAACCACTGCTTGTTGATACGACTCATCAGCGTCTACAAGTGAACCACTGCTTGTTGATACGACTCATCAGCGTCTTCAAGTGGACCACTGCTTGTTGATACGACTCATCAGCGTCTTCAAGTGAACCACTGCTTGTTGATACGACTCATCAGGTCTTACAAGTGGACCACTGCTTGTTGATACGACTCATCAGCGTCTTCAAGTGGAACCCCTGCTTGTTGATACGACTCATCAGCGTCTACAAGTGAACCACTGCTTGTTGATACGACTCATCAGCGTCTTCAAGTGGACCACTGCTTGTTGATACGACTCATCAGCGTCTTCAAGTGACCCCTGCTTGTTGATACGACTCATCAGCGTCTCAAGTGAACCACTGCTTGTTGATACGACTCATCAGCGTCTTCAAGTGGGAACCACTGCTTGTTGATACGACTCATCAGCGTCTTCAAGTGGAACCACTGCTTGTTGATACGACTCATCAGCGTCTACAAGTGAACCACTGCTTGTTGATACGACTCATCAGCGTCTTCAAGTGGAACCACTGCTTGTTGATACGACTCATCAGCGTCTCAAGTGAACCACTGCTTGTTGATACGAAATCATCAGCGTCTTCAAGTGGAACCACTGCTTGTTGATACGACTCATCAGCGTCTTCAAGTGAACCACTGCTTGTTGATACGACTCATCAGCGTCTACAAGTGAACCACTGCTTGTTGATACGACTCATCAGCGTCTTCAAGTGGAACACTGCTTGTTGATACGACTCATCAGCGTCTTCAAGTGAACCACTGCTTGTTGATACGACTCATCAGCTGTCTACAAGTGGAACCACTGCAGCTGTGACTACTCTCACCTACATCAGTGTCTAGCAAGTGGCCACCTGCATATTAGAAACGGACTATATTATAATCAAGGAACCTGCATATGTGAGACTAATCACAGCGCCTGGGGGGAGGATGTGGAAGTCATCAGGCTTAATTGAGACACTGGAGCAAGATCTATTCACTAAATCAAGAGACCCCTCACCCATGAAGGAACATTCCTTGAAGGGACAAGCTGGATGAGCAACGCACAAGTGAACACTTT